GCTGTTCAATTCCGGTTCCTAATCGATTATAACAGCTGAGTATTACCTCAGACTATTTAGTATCGTATACTTTTCAGAAGGGGTTTTCTCGTGCCTGTCGAAGTTTTGGCGTCTACATCCACAATGAATAATTGGGACCCGGGAATGGTTGTTGGGCATAGTTGTTTCTACTGTTTTGACTGCTTACGTCTGCATTCTGGACCAGGTTGAGAACCACACCGTGCCGCACCTAAAGGGTGTTTTAAGGTTGTGGGTCCAGCGTGTAATCAGTCCCACTCCACAGCGACCAAAGCCTAAGTAATCTACAGCAATCCATGAACGATCGAAGCCCTAAACCGAATGGATGTGTTTTCAGGAGCAAATTGTGTTGCATCATAATGAGGAACATGTATTTCGAAAAACTTATGAACTCGCTGTACTCCTTCCTAATCATTCTTATCCGTGTGACTATTTTCTCCCGTTCATTGTTCCACAGTTTGTCTCTTCGTATCATCTCCCATCATTGCCGCACGTCAAATACTCTCGATGCCGGGTTAGCTGTTACCTCAACTTCGATTAATGCACTTATATAATACATTCCTCCACATCTACGTTTGTCACCTCGTCCGCTTTGTGTTTGCACAGCGTTCTCAGGTCAGGTTGCACAGGACTGGTAGTGACCACTGGCCAATCAAGCGTCCAGAATTCCTTCGGTGGTGTGATCACGAGGGTGTCCGCCCCTGCGATTGATCGGGTTCTCTTTCTATCTGCAAACAGAGGAAGAGATACTTTACTTCTCGCCGTGTCGGCGAGAGACTTTTGTTGTGAACGCTCAGTTCACTTCTCACTGGACGAATTGTGGCTCTTGCCAATCGAGCGTCCGGATTTGTGTTGTCGGCTAGTTTCCTTGGCTTTCAACACTTCGATATGCAATTTTTTCTGAAAGGCAGAAATATGTGGTACAGTATCACATCCCTTGTGGTTGGGTTATAGATGGTACTAAACGCATACCTCGGGGAAGACCGCTATCCAAAACTTATCAAGTGCCCTTTTAGAAGCAATCACAGTACTGCAACTTACCACTGACAGCGGCAAACTGGTTCCGTAACGGAATTACCCTGTTAGTGAGAACCGTTGCTCTCAGTTGTAGCCTGGAGTGGCTTCTCAGTAAACGTAAGTAATTTCCCCGAGTGCCTTTATGCGGTACCCAGGAGAACAGGTCGTCAAACCTAAGACCTGAAATACTCTTGACGATCTTAAATGTCTCGATTAGGTCTCTTCTTATCCNATCCGCCTCCGTATGAAGGAGAACAGATTTAAATCTCTGAGCCGCTGTTCATAGCACTTGTCCCGTTGCCCAGCTATCATTCTCGTGACTAGGCGTTGAACCCTCTCCAAGGTATCAACGTCCTTCCGGAAGAACGGAGCCCAAGCCTGCACACAGTATTCCAGATGCGGACGGACGATGCTTTTGTAAAGAGGAACAAAGACCTCTGGTTTTCTGCATGTCATCGTTGCGCATAGACGAAAGTGTCCTCTGGCTTTGTTTACGGTCTTCACACATTGGGACTGGGTTTAAAATCCCGCGTTACCACTGTGCCTAGATCCTTTGCCTCGTGCACTCTCTGCATCGGCGGTCTCACTGCTGTCTCTTCGTCATTTCTGATCGTCAGTATCTGACATTTAGAGACATTTAGT